ATGAAGTTAAGAATATAAGTTTGCATTTTTATGCTGCCTAGATGCAGGAAAATTGCCTTTATTATTTTCCAGCTAGGGTGCAATCTATAGAATTTTGGAACACAGAATACCAGGATTGTGCTCTGGATATGGGAAGGATAGGGAAAGGGAGATGCTCTTGCCCTTTGTAATCCCTATAGACTTGTTGTGTTGTTTTTGATTAAAAAAGGAAAAGAAACCCCCAAAAATGTAAAAAAATGTGCTAAGAAATCTTGCAACAGAAGGGTTCTTGACACTTGAGTGAAACAGCATTTTTCTTATGCAACCAAACCAAATTTATTTTACTTCAATCTAAAAAGAGCCATTTGTTTTCCCTTTTCCAGAGCCAAACACAGTTGTCATGGCAACTGTATATCTACGAATTTTTCCACAGAAAAGCTAATTTTTTTCAGCAGTTGGATTATTTTTTGCTGAAGTGGACTGTCTCAGAATATCTCTCCCCCAGTGATAACTACATCTGCATAACAGATAACTGCACAATGGAGAATTCAGTTCTGTTTTATCTACCAATGTGTCATATCTAGAGATTTATAGGCAGCTGTAACATGTTGTTATCTTTGCCAAGAAAAGAATTTGGAGGGGTGTTTTGGTGTTTTGAGAGTAATTTGACTAATAAAAAGTTTTATTCCTGAAAGGGATTGGGCAGGTTGCCAGGAATAATGTACTGTCTCACCCTTTTGTGCCTCCAACCCTTTTGTGACCAGTCTGGTGTAGCTTCAAATTGTGTCCTTTAAATTGCAGTATACAAAGTGATTACTCATGGTACAAAACACTGTCTGTTAGGTTAACCTAACCAGATTCTAGTCTTGACATAAATCAGAAGGAAGAAATAAATAATCAGTGATCACGTTGTACTTTGAGGGTCAGAATGAGTAAAATGACTTGGTTACTTGCTCTTCCAAGAGATACCAGTTAGGATAGTTGAGAAATAGTTCCATGATATATAAAGTGTGTTATCTTCATCTGCATGGGAGGGAAGAGATCTGCCTTAAGGTGAAAATTGGTACAGATCCATAACTGACACCTCTCACAAACATGGAGGATAGAGCTTTTTGTTCATGTAAATCAGCCCAGAGGTTTTTCAAAATCTATAGGGGAAGAAAAAAATCAGGAAAAATGTTGGCTCAAAAGAAACAAGTTATAACAAACAAGGGAAGTGAACAGCTCACATCCATCTGGGAGAGACCATCATCTAATTCCTTTCCATCACCACTTACAGCTGGCTCTGAGTTTAGCCCAATAAATACCTGGAAGGATTTTAAAGACTAGAATGTGGCTTGAGTTAAGAAATCCTTCAATCTATTAGCAAGAACCTTCACATGTAATGAGGTTTAAACCAAAACCTCCCTCTAAATATTCTAAATGTTTGTTGTGAAAGACTCAGGCACAGAAATTAGAGTTCTGACGCAGCCTGAGACAAAGGGCAACCAAAGAAGACCACAGAACTCAAAGTGGAGAATGTTAAAGATGATGATAAAGACTACATTATTTTATGGGGAGATGGGGAAAGGGTAGCTGCAGATGCAGAAAACAGTAAATGTACTTGGGTATCTGTTCTTTGAAGGGAGAAAACTATAGATGAAGTGACCAATGCTGGAAGGAGCATGAAAAATGTTTTAGGAACATCAGCAATGCTCATTTATTTCAAGCAGTTGCTGGTCTGCAACTAGAGAACAAATTAAGTTTGCCAATAAGTGTAATATTTCAAAATGTGGTTTGTTCCTCCTTTCCCTCTGTATCCTCCAAGAATAGTGTGATAACACATCTGGCTGTAGGTGCAGGGTTGGATTTCATTAAGTAGTGGAAAAGAACAGGAACTTTTGGTGCATGGAGTATGGGGGCTGTAAGAAATTAAATACCTCAAGTCCTCCTCCAAACTAGAGGAGAAAGAAATGTGTACGTGAGATAAAAATTAGGCATATGGAAAAATGATGTTACATACTCTGTGGCATCTTGAATACAAACAGAACGTAAAGAAATGAAGGCTTATCTTTTATGAAGTGATATTTGCTTCTCTAAATACTTCTATAGTCATATTCTGAAGGCTTTCCTCATAACTAGACTTGTCCAAGTGAATATACAGTGCAAATGTTTTAGAGGAAGACTTGAACAAGTGACCTACATGATGGAACTGTTTAACATTGATTTGTGTCATTATACACATGGGTGACACTGTCTATGTTGTTCTAGAAATGGAAACCAAATAAAAAACAAACCAAAATGCTGATGTGTGTGAGTTGGGTGGGAAGGAAGATGTGACATATGAGATGGCACTTTCCTGGAGTGGTGTGATTTTTCCAGCACTTGCTGCAGAGGGACTTGTCCCCTGGAGGCACAGAACCTCCTGCTCTGAGGAGTTGTGGGATGAGCTCCATCCTTCAGCCACTTCTGCTGTCACTTTGCAGCTGTGCCTAGTGTAGATTCCCAGAAGATAAAGGGCTTATGTGTATGTCCCAAATGCTGATGGCTGGATAACCATGGAGCCAATCAAGGATTGTTACTAGGAACAGACGAAGATTGTTGGTAATAACACACCATGAGAAAGGACAAGATGTGGCTGGAGAAGGGTTGTGTGGAGGTAGGGCAGCACTTTTCTGGGACAAATGTCTTTGTTGTAGTTCCTGGAGATAAGCTCAAGACAGTCCAGTGCAAGCTCAGGAATAAGCTGGAGAAAGGAGCATGGACTGCAGGGGTTGGCTAGAGACCACCCAAGATCCACAAAACCTCCAATCCATTTCCAGAAAAATCTGAAAGAATGGACTGCACATGGTAACTAATTTGCAAAGAAAGCAAGAAAGGTCTTATCTTTTGGAGCTGAGAAACTCTCTGTCCACTCATAAACTTGTAGTTGCTAAGGAGCCTTACTGGGGTACCTCCCACTCAGCCAAAGGGAATACAGCAGGTCTGAGCTGCCCATTGGTGTTCCCTCGTAACTCAGTGGAGAAAGAGTTCTCTCTGGTGCCTAAAATAAATGGGATGAATTGCACCTCACAGGTTCCTGAGAGCCTTACTGGGGTACCTCCCACCCAGCCAAAGGGAATACAGCAGGTCTTGGTGTTCCCTCTTAACTCAGTGGAGAAAGAATTCTCTCTGGTGCCTAAAATAAACGGGATGAATTGCACCTCACAGGTTCCTGTCTTTTTCCACTGCTTTAAGACACAGTTAGATGAATCCACCCTGCATTGCAGGGATGATTGGTTGTGGAGCACTGGATTTCAGGTTATCAGAGAGGTTATAAAAAGAAATATATTTAAGCCCAGAGACACTCTTCCATGTAGCCAAGACTGCTGGGCTTTCTTGGGAAATTACTTAAATGATGGTGAGGCAGGCACAAAGAAATATAGTGTGGAATCCAACCAAGAGGCAGGCTGAAAATATCTGGCTTGTGCCTTGGAAGAACACTTGTGGCCCACAGACCATGTGGTTATGAATTGCTGCAGATATTAGAGGAAGAAAAGACAGAGTTGCCACGTGTGTGGGGGGTTGAAGTACACAGAGCCCCACTGGGACCAGAAGGGGCTGCCAGCCCATCCACAGCACTGGGCCAGCTCAGCTCCCACAGGAGGCAGCATCCCCCTGCTCCTTGCAGACACTGCTGGGCCACAGCAGAAGACTGGAAAAAAATGTTACATAAAGATGAAATATCATAAAATTAGCTTGCCGCCAGTGGACAAATGCTAGTCTCTTTTAGCATGCTCATTGCACTGGAAATTATAGTCTCTGTCAGTCTATACATTAACTGGTATGTGTGATGCAAAGAGCTTAATAAAGCAGATGAAATATAACACCAGTTTTCCAGAAGGACATATTATAGTTCCTCAGCCAGGCATCTAATAATAATAAGGAAACCTATAAATTCACATAGATTCAAGTTTGCTTGATAGAACTTGGGAAATTCATCCATTACTGAAACTTTCACTGCAAAGTGTAGTTTGGCTCTTACAGTTGTGTGTCCCTCCTATCCATTTTAGGCTTTTTCACCAGGCTAAATTGTCTCAGAACCTGACAATGACTTCAGGGATAAACAGTAAACTCCTCAATACCATGTTGAAAAAGTCAGTCTCTCAGTCCTGACAAGAAGTGAAGGTCCTCTCTTTCTCAGTTTTTCACTGGTTTGTCATCTACTGAGTAGTGCCAGAGTAACTTCACTTCTATGTATATAAATTTCATAGAAATGCACATCTTGATTCCTCTGCAGACACTGATCATTGCCAGTGGTTCTGTCTTGCAGGGCTCAAACAGTACTATTTATTTAAAGCTGTAGAGCTCCTGTTCTGCCTTGGTTACAGAGGAGTCATTTATCCATCTGCTAAGCTGTGGGATAAATGAATCACCCTGTTTGCTTACTTAGGCTCCCAAACATGCTTTGTCATAAGTGCTAGGGAGGCCAAGGCTCTGACTGGAAGTAGTTGATGCTGTTTGTTGGCATGCAAAAAAATAGACTCTCCAGTAACTTGTGGGTTTCAAGCTGGAGTCATCACTGAACAAAGTAATTAAAGGGTATCATTACATGTACCCTCAATATGTTACTTCCACTCTTTTTTCTTTCACTGGGCCTTTCCATGGCTGATCTTCAGCTGATTTGAGAGCAATCCAGAGGAGACAGTGGGCAAACCATGGTGGTTTCTTTGCTCTCAGCATCACAACTCTGCCAGCCTGTGGATGCTGGAGACTAGGGCCTCCCTCTCATCATAGAATGGTTTAGGTTGGAAGGGGCTTTAAAGATCATCTGATTCCAGTCCCCCTGACATGGGGACACTTCACACCAGGTTGCTCCAAGCCCCATCCAGCCTGGCCTTGAACACTTTCAGGGATGGG